ATGGTTTTCCTCCTAGTGGGGAAACCAATTGGGTTTGGTTTGAGATGGACCAAACTTGGGCTTATAATCCATGAGAATTGGTTATTGGGCTAAAGGTTATGAGGGAGTATATATATGACTCCTAACCTAATTTTGCAGTAGTGAGAAACGAGAGAGAAGAGAGGCATTTACGCAACCAAAGAAGGAGAGAAAACAGTTTCGTCAGATTTTGTTAAAGAGAACGTTTGGAGGCTTTAACGTGCTCCGATTTGGCTGAAATTTTGAGGTTAGCTTCGTGACTCAATGATCTTGATATTCAACGGTGGAGATTCTATTTCAACGGTTGGTTCGTCGCAGACATGAGTTTTAGTGAGGCAGTTCGCTGCTGTTGCGAGTTCAGATTTCAGTCGGAGTTATCTTGAGTGTTTGGGAAATMHGACGGTGAATTATTYTTGGATTGAGCTGAAATTTGGCAGAGGTATTCCTGACTTGTTTAWATAGGATTTGTACGGTGGAGATCTTATTTGGTGACCGGAATCCTAGTGAACTTAGGGTCTTTTGGGACTGCTTGTTCTAGGCTCTTGTATTGCTCTCTTGTGGTGTTTCTTGTGTTGGAGATTGCTCTTCGGAGCCTTACTATCTGGATCTGTTCTGTGAAATAGGGAGGACGTGGTTGTAACTCAAATTTGATCTAGTGGATTTTTGAGTGGACTACGGTCCCGTGGTTTTTACTTCTCACATCGAAGAGGTTTTCCACGTAAAATAAGTTGTTGTCTCATTTACGTTACTGCTTTGATTTGCTGGTGCCATATTATATATATTCTCCTCACAGGTTCACATAAGCGTGGGGAAATTTATTTCGCTGCGCCATCGGTGCTTATTAATTTTCCCAACAGAGTGGTATCAGAGCTTTGTTGTTTGATAACTTTGGGTTATTGGTTGTTTGCTTTTGTGAGCGATGGAAAATATTGGCARGATGATCARCTTGGATGGTTCTAATTATCATATATGGAAAGGCAAGATGGAAGATCTCCTTTATGTGAAGGAGCTTCATGTTCCAGTTTTCGAAGAGAATAAACCCAAGACTAAAACTGAAGATCAGTGGAAGTTGCTACATCGCCAAGTGTGTGGTTTGATAAGGCAATGGGTACATGATAATGTGAGGAATCATATTGAAAATGAGACTGATGCTCGTTCTTTGTGGTTGAAGCTGGAGCAGTTGTTTGCTCGGAAGACCGGGAATAATAAGATGTACATGATCAAGAAATTGATTGAGCTGAGGTACCAGGAGGGAACTCCGATGGCGGATCACTTGAATGCGTTTCAGGGATTGCTCARTAAATTATCTGACATGGRAATTAAGTTTGAGGATGAGATTCACGGTTTGTGGCTTCTTGGTACATTACCAGATTCTTGGGAGGTGTTCACGATGTCTCTTTGTAACTCWGCGTCGRATGGTGTTATTTCGATGGACTTAGTGAAGAACAGTGTCTTGAATGAGGAAGTGAGGAGGAAGTCTARTCCTAGTTCCTCGCGTTCAGATGTAATGGTTTCTAAGTCAAGGGGGAGGAGTTCATATAGAGAGCCCAGGAATAACAAGAACAGGAGCAGGAGCAAATCTAACAAATTTGCTAATATGGAGTGCCATTATTGTAATAAGAAAGGGCACATGAAAAAGAATTGTTGGAAATTGAAAAAGGACATCAAACTTGGAAAGAATCAAGAAGATGGTGAAGATCGGGTGACTCTCACCGAGGATCAGTTTCTTATTCTTCTTGAGAGTGATTAATGTTGCATGCCAGGACACCAGTTGGGTTGTTGATAGTGGAGCTACTACTCATGCTACATCGCAGCGGGATTTGTTCACTACCTATACTCCAAGTAGTTATGGTTCTGTGAAGATGGGTAATGATGCAGTGGCCAAGGTTGCTGGCATTGGTGATATTTGCTTGGAGACTAGTATTGGTACTAGAGTTTTGCTTAAGGGAGTTAAGCATGTCCCARATATTCGGTTGAACTTGATCTMTACAGGGAAACTTGATGATGAGGGTTTCTATAGTTTATTCGGAGGAGGTAAATGGAAACTCACAAGAGGTTCCATRGTTATGGCTCGAGGTGATAAACATTCATCTTTCTATTGGATGCAGGCTAAGGTCTCCAAAGACATTGTTAATGCTGTGGAGAATGTT